CATTTGAGTTGCGACGATGCGGTTTGTTTACATTGAAGTAAACTTAATTTACAGGCAATTTAGGAACACAATCTCATTGGTTGATGATCGAGATCGCTTAGTAATCACGCATCCTTGAAATCATCGTTGGAACAAACTTTTTATGATTCAGCACTACTACCCAATGTCTATTTATTATTAGGGAAGTATATACTCTACTGACCGTACGAGAACTATACTAAATACACCAAGAGTTGTTCGCCTTCATGAGATTCCGTGAACTCAGGCAAACATACACCAAAACCTTCAGAGCTTATTAACAACGAAGGGCTTTTGTTATCAACTATCTAGAGAGGTAGGCTGGATTAACACCGTGTTTCTGGTTTCATTACCCCTCATAATGCCTTGGCAATGCCCGTATTCTTGTCTACTGTGCGTAGATACCTCAATATCGAAGGTAGCTCAGTGGCATGGTGATCGATGTATGAACCATAGATTCATCGCGAATGTGTCTCTGGACCTACACATCTATGATTCTCATTCAGTTATTACCTTGTAGTAATCATGATGAGGCTCATCGGACTGATTTCCAATGTGTCAAGGCACCGCCCTTGCACGCAGCATCTTGAGGTTCTCTGTTACTGTTGTGCTACAGTAATAGAACAGTCGACTCGTTAAACGACTTGGAGTACGATTAGGTTACATAGAAATTACCAATATCGTAAAACCAAAGCGTAAAAAGGGGTACTCACCTATCCTCGCTATCTAAAGTTACCCAAGTGCTATCCAAGTGCTATTCAAGTTGCCTACCTAGTACCTAGTAGATCCATTACTTACAGGCAATGATTGAATCTGGGGTAAATCATGAGAACGGCTCGAAAATGGCGAGCTTACCAATTATAAAACTGAGTAAATCAAACTGTGATTGGTCTAAATTCTATTTGTCAACGAAAACCTAATACACTCGTAATGCTCCGACTTAACATGCTTACCTAATAGCTGATTACTCAGTTCCAGCAACCCGATTTGTTGCATCACTCACCTCCGGCTAGTCACTCACCAACTCCAAAGGAGATATCGCGGGTATTCCGAAACCACTTTGCCACATGGCGTGCTACTGATTGAATAGTCATCTAGCCCTCGGCTTTTGGGAAGGGAGTGGTACACTTTTCGACGGTGATAAGATATGATCGAGTAATCTTACCCCTCGATTTCTAAGATCTCAATGACGTGCTAGCTCGGCAATGTTTTCGTTGCTTACAATATCAGAATTTGTTGTTACATACTCTTTATACTTATACGTCTGCATATATATACATCTAAATCCATTGCTATTAATTAAATTTTTTTGCTCATATTAATACAATACAGCAGTTCAAACACATATTCATATACATACATTCTCGCATCAATTTTCTAGACCATACTTACTAGACCATCAAGATACACTTGACTACGTCACTCTTGCGACATTTGAGAATAATCCCTAAAATCACGCATAGAGAATCCAGCATCATGACAACCGCCGCACCTATCTACAACACACCCGCTCACAATCTTTCTCAGTCTTCACGGATTGAAGCCGCCGGCCAAATCAATATCAAAGACAGTAGTTTTGTCCCTCGCGGTGATACAATCGTCACCCTCAATTATTTCAGACCACCGGAAGACGGTTCCGTACCTTTCAATTACGTCGAAGAACCACCCCAAGGACAACCTCAACGTAACTTTGGAGATGTTGATATCCAAGTTCCTATCATCGATATCCGCGGTAAAGAATCACAATACAACCTAAACAAAGATGCATTCGAAGTAATCCTCGGAGTGCCGGAGTCTGTCGAAAGGGACTTTCGAGACGATGAATCAATCAAAAGAAACTACTATCCCGAAGTCGAGAAATTGGTCTTGGATAATGTACCCGGCTCGAATAAGGTGTTTATTTTTGACCACACTGTTCGTCGCTCAGATCCCAATGCTCATCGGAGTCCCGTCGCAAGAGTCCACATCGATCAAACTTTGAAATCAGCCAAACAGCGTGTACACCGTCATTTGCCAGAAGAAGCAGAGAAACTCCTTCAAGGTCGGTTCAGAATTATAAATGTATGGCGTCCAATCAATGGAGTGGTTCAAGGGAATCCACTAGCTTTCGCTAGCTCGGCAACTACTCTCGACGAAGATGTCATTCCGGTCGAACATCGATATCCAGATACAACTGGTGAAACAGCTGGTATCAGATACAATGAGGGACAAAAATGGCATTACTTGTCAGGAATGAAGAACGACGAGAGATTGTTCTTGGAGTGCTTCGACAGTGAATCATTGAAGCCTGGTACTGAAGTTCAGGGTGGTAGAGTACCACATACTGCATTTGAAGATCCTAGAACACCTGAGGGTGCGAAAGGTAGAGAGAGTATCGAAGTTAGATGTTTGGTTTTTGGTCCTTGAGGATCGAATCAAATTGTACTGCATAGGCGATAGAGGGTATTGATTTGGAGTTTTGATTTAGCATAGGGGGGTTACCATACATGATCTGAATTTACGAATTAATTAAACATCATTTTATCTTTGCCAGAGTGAAACTTCGTGGCTACATGAAATACGCACACACAAACACGTCAAATTTCTAAACCCCTTTCTCTCCAGATACCCAGCATGGTTCACATTAGTTGCGTGAAAAAACCATCCAATGCATGCGCGAACAACCCATCGTATCCACCCATCTACCCCGAGTCAATATGCACCACATCACCAACTCTCCTCGCCGCCAAGAGACTTAATCATCACATCTATGCGTGCGCATGGTGAGTATCAGAAAATCATCAGTATCAACAGCGCAGTAGTATCATCTCTATTGCATAGGTACTCCACAGTAGTTGACTACCTACCTACCTACCTACTTATGAAAAATCTTCTTGTTCAACATAACACGTTAATATCAATCAAAACTACCCACAAAGTACTCGCAGGTCTAACGTATCCAATAAATTCATTAGAAGAAAAATACGTAATTAGAGAGAAATATGTTTTTTCATTTCTTTTTCATATTTTCATTCTTTTTTCTTTTTTCTTTTTTGTTTCTTTTTTTATGTATAGATATTTCCCATCAACACGCGAGGATAATAATCCCCTAGAAATCGTCGCTTAGTAGTTAAGGGGCGGATAACTAATAGCACGATTTAGATTTATTTATTAATTTAACAAGATGAGCTTTTATTCTCGATTGTGTGTGGTTTCTGGGGATACATGGATACTAGGTAAATAGATGACATGTGAAGAATTTGAGTTTTTTTTAGGTTTTTTTTTTTCATAGGTAGGTAGGTATTTGGATTTTATTACTATACATTTCGGGAGGGGAAGAGAGAGGAGAGGTGTAATTTTGTTCTACTTGGTGTTTATTACATGGTTTTTGGAGTTTGGGGATGATGTGTTTTGGAGATGATATGATAATTGATAATAAGAATGATTTATTGATTCCGCTACTGTATCTAGGTAACCTTAATCTTACGAATGAATACCTACTCATATCGTTGATTTTGTGCTTGATAAATTACAATACAATACTTAATATACACCCGTCCATCCATTCATATACAAAGAGAATCCACCGGACATCAGATATCCCAATAAAGCCAATGTAGAGATCTAGTAGATTAAATCTACCTATTCATTTTTTTGTAGTATACTCTACACATATATACACACACCTTTCATCCCATTACATCACATCGAATCACACCACACCAGAAAATCACACAACCAAGGTCATTAATAGATGAATATTATACGGTTCAGTGAGATTTTCATTGTTTACTCTCCCACTTCTCTCAACTGCTTATAACTTTCTCTCAAGTGGAAGAAAATTCATCTTTTTATATTCTCATCTCATTCCATCTCTCACTCTCTCTTTCTATCAACCACCCAAACAATGAAACACCCTCAATTCTTCCCCGAACCACAAAATATCCCTCTCACATAAGCTGAAAACTCGCAGCTAAAAGATCAAGATCAAGATCCAGCTTGCCAAAGCCATCTTTCATGTCAACCACATCCACATCCACAATCCAGTCTTTCTTATGTGTATACAACAGAAAAAGTCCCCCAACACTGCAAATTCCCAGATCCAGGCCGTCATATAATTATCCCATCCGTCCATTGAATGCAAAAGGATCCCTCACAAAAGAAAAATACCAAAACCCCAGGATATGAAACGCCAAAATAACGATCCCATCATAAAGCTCCAGATGAAGGAAACAAAAACAACGCATAGAGCCAGTCCAGCAGATTCGTATATGCTTCCACCATGCTCCTTTCCGTGCAACCCAGTTCCATCCCATCCAGTCCCATGCCATCCCAAGAGCTCGACCCGCGAAATATTTGATGCGAGGGGAATCCCTTCAAGAGAAAAAAAAAACAAAAAAAAAACAAGCAAGATGTAGTGTGCCCGCTAACTACCATGTTACCGAAGTGAAAAATAAAAACAAAGGAAAATTTCTAGAATTAAATGAGTGGAGTTGATTTTTTCGGTGATGAATGACATAAATCATTTGCACCAAACTGTGGAGTATGCAGATGTCCTACTCCGTCAAAATGCAATCGCTAGCAAAAACGCGCAGCGCGAGCCACTTTTAATATCCCAGCCCTATGTATGTGAATGCCGCCCGCGCCTTTTCAAAATGAAATCATAATCCTTATGCTGTGATATTGAGAATCGCAGAATGCTCAAGTTGGTATCCTCTGTTGGTCTCCCGAAATAAAAGTTGCGCCTCGCTCAAAAGAAAACGCATGAAAATAAACAAAGTCGAATATGGATCGATTAAACTCTCGAGGCGTCTGGATGCGCCATATGAAATCTGAATTGCTGAGCCAAAAAATTGATGACTGCTTCTGTCCAAAGAAACTGAAATGTAATATGGTATCTCGCCTTTTTTTTTATAATACAAACGCCCCACATGATATATATTACAATTGATATAGTATGTACAGATAAATCGAATATTGTTGAAGTATGAAGTAAGTTACAATCATTGATGATTGCTGTCGACGGAAGGTTTTGGTGAAAGTGGTGTTCGGTTGAAAACGGTACGACCGAGACTCTTAAGTACTCCAACGCTTTCGTTTGATTCAGCATTGACATAAATGCTTGTAGCTGGATCAATCCTGACACGACAGAAGAGTGTGGAGAAGAGGAATTGATCACCGTTTGTGTCGTAAAGAGGTAAAGTACGGTAACCTTGTTTGAGACTGCTGAGTTTGGCAGTATATGTAGCCAGAGGCAAAGTTTTATCGTTGTAACTGTGGCCGTCCGATGAGCATCTAACAGTCCAGCGAACAAAAACGAGTTCTGGAAATTTAGTTGTTAGGGCGAAATTGAATTTCTTGTTAAAAACTGGATTAAAGCCGTTTTCTTGGACGATGTGTGTACGACGCTTGTGAGGGGCTCCTAAACCAGAAGAGCCATCTTTAGCAGAAGCGTCAAGACCACCTTCACCAATGACACCTTTGGTCTCCTTGCTCTTATCATCAGCATGATAAACTTCGACTTCAATATATGGATCGACAGAACGATTAGAAGGAAGACCCTTTGGGCGCATGAGTTGTTGAGCAGAGATAATGTCAATTGAGAAGTTAACGTTTTTGCGTTCTCTCTTGACATGATCAGCTCCTGCTTCCTCTGGAACACTAGGAAGCATTTTAATCTCTCGAAGCTCGCTTGGTTTGAGGACATAACCGGATTGATCGGTTCCTCCGGCAAACATAGCATCGTTCATTTGCATGCCTAGATCATGAGTCTGCCAGTTGAGAGCCACCATCTGTACACTTCGTCGCCAGTATTTGAGGGGATCAAAATTGGTAGATGCAACACGCCATCCATTAGGATACACTCGCATGAGATATCTCATGTTGTGTCTGGTCATCGCTCGGCGATCAATTTGCGTCTTGCTATTCCTGTCAAAGGTAGACTCCATGAATGAGAAGATGTGATTGTAAGCTTTGCTCTCTGGATCATCGAAACCACGGAATTTAACACCAGCACTGTAGATACCAAGCTCCCCGAGGACCTTAACAATCTTGCTTGTCTTGGGCTTATCCTTGGGTCTGTCTTCGTTTCCTTCACTATCGCTACTGCTGCTACTCGTAGTTTCATCAGTCCCAGTCCTTCGAATGTTTTGCTTGATATTGCTTCCACTCGGGTTTGAAGTTGGCGGGGGCAAGAGAGAGCCACTGGAAATGCTTGAGTTGTCGAGTCCTGCAGGATAGACACGAGGTGAGCTAAGACTGTTGCCACGAGACCGACCATTGATCTTGGGGGGAGTCTCATCGGAGATTCTGGGTTTCTTGACTTTGATTAAGATTCGATCCATCAATTGAGAGGGCGAAGGAAGCTCCTGGGATGATGGATCAAGAGGCTCTGTGACTAGTAAATCACCGCACGCTTCTTTGATGATCTGAGCCATAGCTGCCTGCTGGGCATCGTTGCAGTGAACCTCTAGGGAAATCCACAATGGAAAATGTGATTTGACAAATGCATATTTCGCAATAGTGTACATCACATCAGAGAACATAATAGGTCTGGTCATGGTGTGACCGTGATTGACAATCGGCCGCCCGTCCTTTCCATCCCAGCAATCAATTTCAACACATCGGCAGCCTTTGATTAGAGCGGATATGTAAGCCTCAACACTCGATTCTCCAGCGACTTGTCGCCCCATAAGATAGGTATTGTGAGAGCTAGAAATGAAGTATTCATGCATAGGACGATCGAGAGTAAAGGTTTCGGGGATAGTCTCGAGAGGAACATTATGAACAGATGTGAAAAAAGTGGCTAGAGCTTCTTCACTCATTCGTGCAGCCTCGCCCTCTTGCAGTGGCTGATCTCGTGATCTTGATCGACGTGCAAATTTGGCGAAAATGGATTCCCACTTCGCTCGGTCCTTCTCAACATTTTCCCCTTGTACTACACTGACGAAGTTAATAAACTCTTCAAGTGTAATTCCTTTGGCATTGTCAGAAGCGAGGTCTTTGTAGATCTCGGAAACATCCCCTCTTCGTTTCATGAGCTTCACAAATTCTTGAAATTCGGAAAAGTTTAATTTCTTGGACTTGGTAGCATCTGCTTGTTGAAATCTCTCTCGTAAGAATCTGGAGGAAGTGTTGATGTGAAGGTTTTTGCAAAGCTGCTCGACTCCTTCGAAATTGAGAGCCTCTTCATCTTCGGCATGAGGTACATCAGAAAACTGCTTGGTCATCTCGCCACGCCAGTAATTCCTGACGGCTTTTTCGTTAAAGGCAACAAGACTTGACATATTTTCATACCTATGCTTAGATATAGCTTCAAGGGTTGTGGTCCACAGGTCAAATGTTTGTTCATCTGGTGCGATCAGATGCATGATTTTGGTTGAGCGTCCGGTTGATTTATTGTCAGGTACCACGTAGAGAATGGAGAAAAAACGAGGCTCGTCCTGAGAGTCAACCTTAAATTCCTCGCGATAGTTAAGGGCGTCAGATCCGAGTCGAATTTCCTTGATGTTGTCTATGAGGAAGCTTTTCGCGGGCCTCGTCTTATCCCACGATACTTTGCACGCTTCATCTTCGAGAACAAAGGTAAGAACCTTTCTCTTCTTCTTTGTGATCTTGATCATCGTGGTGCCCTGGAGAAGAACAGTGGGTATAACAGGTCCGAATGCGAGACCTGCGTTGCCGCCAGTCATTGTCGAAGAGCAAGCGAACGATGCATTGGAACTTGGATAGTCACCGGTGAGACCTTCAATACCTAATGGCGAATCCACCCACTCAATGGTATCCTCGTGAACATCCTCATCGGAATCTGAGTTGATTGGGTAGTGTCTGGAATCTGGCGCTGTATTGGTACTGTCACTTCGACGTCGCAACATGACTGGTCCAGCGCTTTGTTCCCGACTTGTATTTGTAGACTGCCGTCTTGAAATCTTGTTCGATAACCTCCTCATCAACCCTTGTGATCGATTGCCATTGAATGATTCGGCCATGGCAGTTTGGCTGTGTCTCCTCGAGACGACTGAGTCGGGGAGGGGATCGAAAGGGGGAAGGCGATACTCTGGTTCACGCCCTCGTGGGCCTTCGGGCGATACTTGTAATGAGGAGTTGTTGGTCATGATTTGACTAGTCTCGGGTGACATAATTGGCGATGCTTGTACAGAACTTGAGGTTGTGACCGAGGAAGCCGACATTGGAACGGTGGGAGCGGAAGAAATGGTGGGAAGGAATTCGGTTCGCACACGCGATATTCCACGTCGTCGATTGAGGGAGGACGACCTCTGCGGATATGGGGACATGTGAGGAGATTGTTGTTGTGTGGGCGCTCGCGAGGTAGTAGGAGTCAAGTTAGGACTCGAAGTAAGGGAAGACATCTTGGAAAGAGATTCACTGTCATTCATATTGGGATGGAAATGGAAAGGAATGGTCCAATGGCGCAGCTTCGTATAATAAACTAATAGCTGAACTCGGGGTTGAGAACACTATACCATGTAAATATAATTGAGCGCATATCTTTTGAGAAATTGGAGATGGTGGTAGAATAGTAAGTGGTGTTGGATGAGTCGTATATTTTGCAGCAGATATGGATTTTATGAATTCGATAGGAGGATCAATTGGAAGCGCTCCAACATGTAACTTTGATTTTCCCTTTTGCGTAATTTTAAATCATGTGTAATGTTTTTTTTGTTTGTTTGTTCAATGAGACGTCGAATCTGGATGATCTTGCATTTGATCGCAGTGAATGGTAGAAGGAGGTGACCAATTTGGGAATTATTTCGAGACCTTGCAGATGCGTAGGAATTGAAATTTTGCGTGTTCGACTAGGATTGATGTTGGGTTGTAGGGTTGTAGGGTTGTATGTAAGTAAGTAATAAGTATGTGTGTATAGTGGTGGTGGGGGAAAAGGGAGGGGGGATTTTAAGTTTCGGTTTATTTTTTTGGGTGATGGTGGGTGGAAGATGCGATGGAGGGTGGATGGTGGATGGTGGATATGTGCAGGTATAGGTGTGTAGTGTATGTAGTGTATGTAGTATGGCAGGTGGTGCAAATGGTAGGTAATAAGGTAGCAAGGTAGTAAGGTAGTAAGGTGGTAAGGTGGTAAGGTGGTAAGGTAGTAAAATATTAAGGTAATAAGGTAGTAAGGCAAGGCTAGCTTATATTAGTGCAGATGGGTTGTCTTTTTTTAGGTGGGTGGGCGAGTGGATATCAGAGTAAATAAAATACTCTGTACCTAGCATGTAGGTAGTAATAAATAGGTAGTAAAAGTTGTGTTAGGGTGATGAATGGCTTGCTTGTTCGCCAAAAAATCCCAGGATCCCAGGCCTGCAGGAGAAAAAGAATAAAAGAATAAAAGAATAACTAAATATAACAATAAATAAATAAATAAATAATAACTATAAAAATAAATATAATAAAAACTCGGGGGACAGCCGACGGTTTGGTGCAGTAGGTGATTATGCTCAAGAGCTAATATGGAAGGTAAAGGCAATGTAAAGGCAATGTGGATGTGAATGTGGATGTGGATGTGGATGTGGATTGGAAGTGGAATTGGAATTGGAATTTCGATTGAATTTTCGGATTTCGATTGTAAATTGTAAATTGCCCTTTTCTTCCCTGGTCTTTTTCTCTGCCGTTCGATTTCCCCCCCCTTGGAGATGGAAAATGAAGGATAAGGAGAGAAGAATGAAAGAATGAAAGAATAATATTGGATTGTGTAATGGATTTACTTATTCGTTTGGTGCGTTTTCTTCTTCCCTTTCTTCTTCGGCTCGTCCGTCTTCAATTCTTCACAGTTGAAAGCGGATGAAGAAGAAGAAGAAGAAGCAGAGGTTTCGTGATATCTTTATGCCGCTCGCTGTATCATTTGAGGGATTGTTCTCGTAGGAAAGGAATGTAAATTTGATAATTGATATGATATGCTGGATCTGTATCAGGATCAAGAAACAAAGAAAGGAGTGAAGTCAAAAATGATGGGACATTTTCCGCGTGTAGTAATTGAACGAATAATAAATGAATGAAGAGTTGAGAAATGACGATGATGATGATGATGATGATGATTTCTCTTCCCCTCTCTTCCTCTTTTTTTCCCTTTTACTACCCTTAGAAGCCTTAGGGAGGTTTGGAAATAGTGAGTAATTGGTGTGTACGAATCAGTGGATGATTAACCCAAGACCCAAGTTTTCCCTTCACTCGGTACCTATGATATCGGAGAGCCACTAAAGAACCAAGTTACTTTAATGGCTTGCTAGTGCCCAAGAAATCGTTCGTTCAGTGGAAGAAAGCGTTTGTGGATTTGTGGTTGTGATTGTGGTTGTGGTTGTGGATTTGCTGGATTGCTGATTTGCTGGTTCGCTGAGGAATCCTAGGTACCTAGTAGGTATCAAGTGTAGCGTCAAGTGTAGTTTATGAAGTGTACGCTGTAGTATGAAGTGTATATCTAATGCGTATATAATGCGTATATAATGCGTATATAATGCGTATATAATGCGTATATAATGCGTATATAATGCGTATATAATGCGTATATAATGCGTATATAATGTGTATACCTAGGTAGCTGTAGTGATATCTTCAAGTGATGATAGATAGACAACTGAGATACCTAGCTAAGATACACCAGTCGATAGAAGCCAATGAATCCGAATGGTCAGGCTGATTTAAGGCTGCTTAGGGTCGATGCTCTGAACACTAATGTAGTAATGAAAGACGCTACCCGACAGACCTTAATCCTTTTAACTTTTGCACTCGATTGATCATCAGGGATTGGATTGACAGTTTCCAGGTTTTGCTGGTCGTGCTTTGCGGCTTTGCTGCGCGCTGCGAGCTGGCCTTAAAACAAATTGATAATAGGAATTGCTCGCTACTCCGTAATCTTGGAAAAAAAAAAAAAAAAATCCAGCTCGTGGAGGTAGGCCCCGAAATAAGTAATATCGAAAGTTTTGGGTCCAATATGATATGTCGCAGCCAGCCAGTCAATCAATCAATATTGAATAGGTAGTGCGTGGTGCGTGGTGCGTGGTGTGTGTAGTGGAGTTCTTGTGTGGAATTTTGCTTGCTCTTGGAATGTATCTGGTGGGTAGCTGGAGATACTAGATAGATTAATGTATGAATCGGTACATCCGTGATATCCCATCAATTGCCGTCAAGTGCTAGGTAGCTTGGAACTTTCGCACGTCGTACAGTCAGCAGCCCATGCGCCAGAGTGGTTTCGCTTTTCTATGGATATCAAATGATTGAAGTGGAGAGCTATTTTCCAGATGTTTTACTTGGGGGGTTTTCACACTCATTCGTTTCCGAAAAGTATCTTTGGCTGCGGCTTCTTTCTTTCTTCCCGTCTTCCAATGCTTCTATCGCTAGTTCTTCCCTTCCTTCTTATCGATGGATCGGGGACCCTTTTCGAGACGAGGCGAGATTAGATGAGATGAGACGAGACGAGCTGGTGGCTTTAAACTTCTGACTGCTTTAGTTGCTGGTTGATTACGCCCTTGTGCATGTGATAAGTGGAGTGTTGTAAATCGCTATATAATTTGTCTCTGTTGCAAAGATGTGATTCGTAAGGGGCAGATAGGTCAAGATACGAAAATCAAAGGTTAAGCCTTAATGTTTGGTTTGACTTTGAGCTTCCTGCCGTCTTGTCCGTTGGAGCGTATGTCGATCGCAGTTGGAGTGCCGAGATACAAGGAACAAGGCTCTCGATGATTTGTTCGGAATAGATGCAATTCGTAAATTGAAGGGGGGGGAAGGGAGGTATGGTAGAAGTTAGATAGCTGGGTACAAGTGATAAGTTTATCCTGACTGCGTGTGGGATGGCTGAAGGAGCAGGTTACAAATCCATGCCACGATGGCACGATGAGAGCAATATGTATTCGACTGTACTCGAAGTAGATGTGATGAACTCGAGTGAGTAATCTCAACACGTATGTCAAAGTCAAAGCAGGTTAGAACCCAAGATCAATTGCTTCAAATGGAAATATAGACGTCCATAAGCATTAGGATTCTGGGGCTATACAATAACAATATTCATTCCATCTTATTTCTGGAGCACCGTATATCGTGAGCAAATAGAAAAGATGCAAAAGCCAAACTCAACATCATTCGTACACGACTATTTCGTGCATACATCGCGATTGGGATCTGAAGCCCAGCGAATCCCCCCTCCCCTCAAATTCCCAAGAACAAGGGACCAGGAGGAAGACCAACAGGTTGTCTCATCGTCTCATCATTTACACAGTCAATTGCGCAGTGCAGTGCAGTGCAATATGCACAGGAAATACTGCAGTGATGCTTATAGCATTTTATATGGATTTATCAAGTCAAGATAATTTTTGATGTTCATATTTATTTTTAAAGCTTTTAAATCTTTCTAATCTTTCTAATCTTTCTAATCTTTCTAATCTTTCTAATCTTTCTAATCTTTTTTATTCGATGATATTTCTTTTGTAATAAATTATATAAAGGATTAATTAATAGATTTAGGATTTAAAAAACATGTTGAGTTGAAACATCCGTATGAAGTGCTACAGATGTTACTCGCTGCAGACTACAATTTCTCCTCCCCTGTCTTGATTTCACTGCCACAGCAATCTCCATTTCATTAATCCCATCTTATCCCATTCCATCAACAACCAACCGAATCCCCCCGAAAGTATTCCAGTATCGCGCCGTAAGAAATTTAGACGCTGTTCACCTGTGATAAAGTAGGTCTCGTGGTCACATTCGTCACCAGGGGGACGGTGATAGTCAGGTTAGGTAGAAAAAGTAGGAACATGGCATCTAACGTTGTCATTGGGAATCAATCATGAAATCAGAACCGACGAAACATTTTGCTTCGTTGGCACACACGGTGATATCAATGGGATCCAATTATAAATCATTACCCCTCGCGCGCCTCGAGCAAGCAACATTTTCTCTCCCCCCCCCGTTGTGCCTAATCGTCCATATGTTTCCAACCCCCATCCTTCACCGCTTCGAAAAATAATTTTCAATCTGTGCATCCAGTATACCGACCACCAGTTCGACTGACTTGCTCTGCAGAAGAAACACTCACGAGACCACATGTAATTAGAACAGACCCATCTCCCAGCCCTTCTCGGGTCTTTGCAAGTACCAAATCGGCACAGTGCTCTCTCGTTCCCTCGTCCTCATGCTTGGCGTCGAAATGATGCGATTCTCAATGTTTCGCTCGGGGAAAATGTGATTGTCTGCGAGGCTTTGATTACATTCGGAAGATAGAGATAGATAGATATCTCAATCTTGTACTCTATCTATGAATCATCACACAGTCTTTTTTTCCGTGCTGGTCTGCTAGCTATTCTTGCCCAGTAGTCTGTGTAACGCATCTTCCCAGCTCGCAAGCAGGGTTATTACTTACAGG